GGACACACACACATCCTTGAAGATGTCAGTAATTGTGGATATTAAAGAAAACTAGGGATTAGAATGGATTTCTCTACCGAGTCTATGGATAAAGACTTGCATATTTCAACAAGGATGATTTATTCAAATTTTTCAAAGTGCAGAATTAATAAAAGCAAACACTTCCACAAAGTTAATCCCAAACAAATGGAAGCAACATGGCAAGAACTTTATTTCCAACATTTCACATGCCAGAAGAACAAACGAAAATGTTGGTTTGCATAATTAAATCAGGCCAGACCAAAAGAAAAAAGCTGAGAATACAAGATTTCTTTGCATATTTGATAGAAATGAAAACTGGCCACAGCCTTTGATGTGACACTAGGTCTGGACATAATCAAACACTTGATACGTGGGCAGGCTCTGGACCTCAGATCACTGTAACTTTCATTACTCAGCATTAGTAAGGGCAGTGACAGCTTCACATTACAGAAGTCACTGGGATCAAAAGAGGATTTTATTTCTACTCACAGCAAAGTTTAAGAAATGATATCACACGGGGATTTTTAATCACTACATACAGGACAAAACTATGATCTAACAGCCGATCGTGCTTTGAGCAAGAGGCTGGAGCATGTGACATCCTGACCACCCTTCCACACTGAACTGTTCTACAAAACAGGGTAAGGAAGCACCAGGAGAAGGGCTTGGAGAGTAAGACAGGAAAGGTATTAAAGTATTCCTCTACCTGAATACACAGTACAAGTAAGCAAAAAATTGTTACCTTGTTGAGTAACAATAACAAATGGGTAAATATGAGTAAAATCTTGTAATAGTTTCATTTAAATAGCATTGAAGTGACAAAGCTTTTAAACTATCATTTATCAAGAAAAATCATGTGTTACACAGTGCAAGTAATTCAACTAGATTAGAATCATAGAACACCCAGAGCTGGAAGGGCCCCACAATGGTTGCCAAGGTGCAGCTCCTGGCCCTGCACAGAACAAGCCCAGAATGGCAGCCTGGGCCTGAGAGCATTGTCCAAACTCCTCCTGAGCTCTGCCAGCCTCGCTGCTGTGCCCACTGTCCTGGAGAACCTGGTGCCCAACCATCCTGTGGGTGAAGAACCTTTTTTCTGATATCCAACCCAAACCTCCCCTGACACAGCTCCAGTCATTTCCTCGGGGCTGTCACTGGTTACCAGAGAGGAAAAAGAAAGAAATACACACCAATTTATTTTGTCCTTTCTCTATTTCCTAATTATCTGAAGGCAGCTCTCTGTCCAGTATATTATACTTAATGGAAACGACTGATTTCAGGATTTACAGTAACTAACAACACAAACAACAAAAGCTACTGAAACCAGAAATAAAATACTGACCATGGTGCCAGTACACAGGAGCTTCACATAACCAAAATGCCAAAGTCTACCACATAAGCCTTGTAAATGCTATAAGCAAGGCAGGAAACCAGTCAGGATATTCAAGGCAGGCATTGCCACTTCTGAGAATTCAAAACAATAGGTGTTAAAACTACTAAAAATGTTTATTTTGCATCATAACAAGAGAAACATCAAATATCTATACAATAATTAGGAAAGAGTAATTTTTTATTTTTTTTTAACGTTGTCAACACATCACATTTTTTGATAGTCAGAGAGGCAAAACTGAAAGGCCACAGGCAGGGTAGGGGAGTCCAAGCCACCCAGCTGTGTCCCCTTACCTGGCCACTCTCTCCAGCACCTGTACTGCCACTGAGTTTCAACAAGGAATACACAAGAGTTTTCCCCAGTCACAGTGTCACACAAGGATACATCTCCTCCCATTCAAACTCCCTTCAAAACACACACTATGGTCTTGACAACTTGATATATTCTAGCTTCTGCTGTACCTGGAGAGAAGCTGTGCCAGGGGGCTTTACTTTGCTTCCACTTAATTTCCAAATGTCAAACTTTGTAACCAATGACTGGCTGACCAGAAATTTGATTTATCTCTAAACCAGTCACGTTGGGGTTTTTTAGGAGTCAACTGCAAATAACATCCTTAAGGCACCTTTCACATGACTGTTATATTAAAAGAGAAATTTGGGTTCAGAGATGGTTGCACTGAGGGATAGTGACAGGAACTCTAAACAAAAAAATGGGAAGATTTGACAGTAAATTTCAATCTAAGTAGATGACAATTTTCAGAAATTTTTACTGAAAGAGTTCAAATTTTTAAGTTCTACTGTACGGTGCTAAAAATCTACTAACACAGAACACTGCATGAAACAAAACATACAATTATTTTTTGTTGAATTAAATAGCCACAAACAAAAACAAAACACAGAACTGCACACTTACCAAATTTTAAAAAAGCATGCGCAGAGGAGGCTCTGTCATCATCCAAATTGGCCATTTCAAATTGGTGCAGCTAATCACAAACGTCTCAGGCTAAGCTACAGTAATTTTCAAAACTGTTTAGTAAATGTTAAAGGCAATCAGCATTCAATTAAGTGAAAGCAATGTTAGTGGAGTTATTAACACAACAGAGTGCACAGCACAAACTTTCATTACATCTCATGCTTCCTTCTTCTACACTGACCTCTTGGTTTTATTTTGCTTTTACTTCCATAAAACTTAGTAGTTTACTCTGAGTAAAAGGGCACAGGTCACAAAAAAATCCATCTTTTGGATATTTGACATGAGCTTTGCTATTCAATGGGAAACTTGCTACAAACACCAAAAGGTGATGAATACAATCTGATATATTTCAAGATGAAATAAAAATATTGATTTAACTAGTGCACACTAATGTGTTAAATAATATTAATGATAAGGAGCTAAAACTCTGCTTATGCATAGAGTTGATTTCATCCTGTGTGAAATCTACACCAGGATGTTTCTTGAGGTCATATATATTGGTTATGGCACTGAATATCTGATCTGAGGCAGGATATCTTCCTCTTTGGAATATACAATAGGAACAACGTGTCTGTAATCATGATGACAAGTTTTTCCAAATCCTTAAAATTTACGTTTTATAAAGTAACAAAAATTTCAGGGGCTTTACACTAGTCAACCACTATCTTTAGAATCTCCTTAATTAGACTAGCAACAAATGAGACAGTATTTTATTGCTTCAGAAAGGGAAATGAGCATTTCTGAATAAAATTTGGTTTTACTAGAAAAAAAAGTAATTAATAATTTAACACACATAAACATGAGGATACAAATTACCTCCTACAGGACTGACTCTTACATGATGCATTGCTGGAGGCTATAAAACATGAGTCACTGGTGCATTTCAGTGTATCTATGCCCCATGTTTACTACACCTTACTGCAAGAAACCAACTAGTAAAAAAAACTCCAAACCAGACAAAACAGTGCTGTTTGCGAGCTGGGCTACAGCACAGGCCTCAGACACACCAGAAACGTGTGGGGGAGTTTCTGTCACTTTCTATGACAATCCCAACCATGTCTCCTTACAGGGCCAGGAAGGAAGAAACAACCCCTGAGGTTATACAAATTACAACATAAAGATGCAGCAGTAAGCTTGAAATATAAGAGCATTCTTTTTCTTTTTAGATATGAATGCCACCTGAAAGATATTAAATAAAATTTTATTTTTAAATCAACTCTTTTATTTTCAGCTAAGATAATGTTTATTTCCTGAGCAAATTTCTTCAGTTGTTATATAAAAGGCCACGAACAGATCTCTAGACAATCTCAGAACAAAATCTGTAGGAACTGGAAAAGAAGGAAATAAACTGCAATAACGATCTGTCATTGCTCAGAAGACAGTTCTTTATACATTTAACAAAAAAAGTAACAGGCAGCAGTAGTTAAGAAAAAGTCAAGTGGTTGAAACCATCAAAAGCCTTCTGCAGACACAGGCCTGACCCTGCAAGGGATTCCCCTGTTCCTGTGCTGCCCTGAGAGTCGGGGTTCGCAGAGCCCGGACACGCAGCTGGTTTTCCAGAGCCCAGGGCTCCATTTGTCAATCACCTTCCAGCTCCCAGCCCTGCAATCCCAACCGGCCACACTCACAGCTCCTTCATGGGCGCTCTCAGCCCTGGGATTTGCCAATCAATCTATACATAAATTGAGCTTTTAAAGCCAAATTAATCAGACCAGCCTCTTAACAATTAATTCTTTAGAGGCCTCATAAAGCCCCATTTTGGTCTTACACTGTGTGATCAGCTATTAACAAAACAAAACCAACCAAACATGCAAATAAGTAATAACTGAGTTTTACAAGCATGGATGGCATATAAATAAACACAGGGATCTCCTGGAAAACTTTTTCCATTAGAACAATTAAACTCCTACTATGGCTGTATTTTACCTTGAAAAAAAATCTAACTCCAAGTTTTTGAAATTTAGGCTAACTCGGCGACATGACCCTTTGGTTTAGGCCAGAACGTAGCTGCCCTACGGTCCACGTTCAGAACAAGAAACTCCTGCGCTATAGAAAGGTTACCTTTACCTAAGAGAAACCTGGCAAAAGCTGGTACTTTCCGCTAAACACTCCCTGCGCTCCACAGCTGTAACACTTTATACAACTGCGGTACTAAACAGGCCACGAGCGCTGCCTTTGCACCCCCGGGCACAGGTGACACCTGAGCGCACCTGGGGCTGTGCCCGCCAACCCCGCTGTGCCCTGCGGCCGTCAGGGCCGGCACCGCCACCCGCCAGAGGCACGGCGGGGACGGGAACAGCCCCGGCCGGGCGGGGAGGGGGGCAGGGAGTGCGGGAGCGGGGCGGTGAGTGCCGGGAGGCAGAGAGATCCCCGGAGCTCCTCCCGGGCAAGCCAAGAGGTCAGACCTGAGCGTTTGGAGCGAGCGCGCAGCTCCAGCATCTTCCAGCTCACGTCAGCCATGTGAGTCGCCGCCATGGCGGAGCGGTCCCGCAGAGCCCCCGGCGCGGGCTGCGCGGTGCCGGCCTGGCCCTGCCTGGCTCCCGCCGTAAAGCGCAGGCTCCGCCGCCGCTGCCGCAAACCGCGGCCGGCGGGGCCGGGCCCGCCCCGCGCTGCCGTCAGAGCGCGGGCGGGGCGAGGCCGTGCGCGATGGGGGCCCGCGGGCCGTGCCCGCCGCTGGCCCCGCTGTTGGCCCTGGCCCTGCTGGCCCTGGCGGGGCCCGCCCGCGCTCTGCAGAATGTCACCGCTCAGCTCTTCGGGCCCGAGGCCCGTGGGACCCTGGCGGCCTTCGGCGACTTCAACTCGGACAAGCAGACGGACCTGTTCGTGCTGCGCGGCGGTGAGTGCGCGGCCGGCGGGCGGCAGGCCCGGGGCTCTGATAGCACGGGCGGTGGGAGCTGGGCTCCTCGTCCCCTCGCAGCGCAAGCGGGAACAGCTCCGGGTGCCGCCACCCCTGTGCCCCGGCAGCCCCGGGGGAGGCGACGGGCACGGGGTGACCGCGGAGCCGGGGCTGGGGACAGTGCTCCCGGTGCGAGCTGCCCGGCGAGGAGCGAGGATGGGCTCGCTGCTCGCCGGCGGGCTGTGGGGTCTCGCTGCTCGCTCTCCGGGGGTGCCCGGGGCTGTGGTGCCGAGGGCCGGCGCGGTGAGCGCAGCGTTGTTTGCAGGATGCAATGACACTTGCTTCGCTCCCAGGTATTTCCTGTTTGGAACACGGTATTCGGTTTGCGCTAGAATGGTTCATGTGGGGCGCGTTTTTCTTTAAAGTTGAATTTATGGTTGTCAAATAATTTAGAGACTTCATCCTATAACTTGAATGGTCACTGATTGCTGTTTTGCTCCTGCTTTCGCGATATTTTTGGAAGCAAAGATGAACAGTCCACAGATGTGGAGGAAAAATTGCACGTTATCCTACTTTGAACATTACGTTAAAGTGTCACGGTAGAGAAATTGTTACACCTGTCGCCTGGTACAAGTTTTTCTTAAGACTTCAGATATGGGGAGACCTCAAATCAGGGCTTATTTTCAGTGGTCAGTGTTATTTGCAGACATTAATCTTGGATTATTTTAACTTTCTTGAAGCACATTAAGATAGTAAATTTATTCTCAGATTCACCTTTTTAATTCCTTCAATCTTAGAAATGTTTTTCTAAGTAGCTTTGGTAAAGCATGAGTGACTTTCCCATCTAGTTGAGTTATTGAAATGCATGGCTCCTTGGAAATGCTCCACTGGCTCATCTACTGAAAAAATGGTCAGATTTAAAATGAATGTCCATGATAAGAAATTTAATTTTTACTTCTCTTTCAGATGAGTGCATATAACAGTGTGAATAATTATAAATCTCAGAAATGAGATTCGTGATTTCTTTGTGCCTCTGTAGCAGGATTTGATAAATAATTTTCCTGTGTGATACTTACTGTAAAAATCAGCTTGAAGTAACATAGCTGAAAACATTATTTTTCATAACTTAAATCTTGATGAAAAGTATCTGCAGTGTACTCTTAAAACAAAAAGTAGTAGTTGTAAATGATGGGATAAATGGCAGCGAGTTGTAAGCAGTGTGAGGAAATGAGAACTGGAAGAGCAGGACTCTAAAGCAGCCCAGTCCTAATAATCCTGACCCTTAATAAGGAAATGGGGATGATGTCTGTGACCTTTTGCTGGATATATGTTACTTTTCTGATCTTGCCTTATTTTAGTTGAATGAGAGTAATGTTCCATATGCTCAGATACATAAGAGAAAATCAGACTGTGCTCATGCTAAGAAATAGTGAACTTGCTGAGTGTAAGGGATAATCCAGATATAGAAGTATCCTGCTGCAAGACCAATTCAAAAGTACCAGTGGACTCTGGGTTTAGTCACTTTTTTGAAACTCAGAATATACAGATAAATGGAACTGTGCATACACTTACCTGTTTTGTGAGTCTGTACATGTAGCAGGTCAATGGGGAAGCCCATGCTGGTTGCTTGTTTCATGTACCAGTTTCTGGTAATTCTTGGTGCCTCTGCTGGTAGTGCAGGGCAGTGAGTGGACATTCCTCTGTTCACCTGCTGCATTTCATTGGGAATTTGGGAAACTTTTGTGGTATTTATTTCATATATGCAAATATATGTATATGTGTGTGATATATGTCATGCAGATACTCAGCCTGAAGACCTCTGTTGTTTGTATGGAAACTGTTCCTGTTTTTTCACACCCTCTAATGCACTGGGTTTTTTTCATTACAATCCTCTTATCTTAAAAAGAATACAAAAGTGCAAACAGCATTTAGGATTGATTGTAGTGGCGTGGTAATGCTGTTTTCTGTTCATGTAATAATTTTTAATAGCTAATTTATTTTGACTGTTAATGAGCATGGAGCTGAAATTTTTATATCTCTATCTTTAATGACCAAAAGATCTCATTTCTCAGTGTTACAGCTAACTAGGGATCTAGTATGTGTAAAAACACATGTGCTTCTCCATCCTAGTCATTGCTGTACCAAATAGGCAATGAAACGGCAGGTGAGAGTCTGAGGTGTGAAATGGGAATTCCAGGTGCAGAGGCAGCCCCCAGGTGTGCTGTACAAAGCTGAGGCAGCCCCAGGCTCCTGTGCCAGGCCTTTCCCTCCTCCAGGAGCGTGTGCTGCAGCTCAGGCAGCATTTCTCTGGGCCTGTGCTGGTCTCCTGGCCTCTCTGGAAGGATCCTGTTCATTTACTCATTGAGTGGTGGATTCTCCTTCTCTTCAAGAGGTTTGTGGCAGGTGCCTTTTCTTTCATCGTGAGGAGCCTTGTATTCTCTGCTATTTCACAGCTGTGAACTCTGCCACCAAACAGTGCTACCAAACAATGCTCTTGAAAAGAACAAGATTAGAGCCTTAGAATTATTCTTTTATAGAGAATGATTTTGTGGTGCTGCAACTGGGTTTATTGGAGTATGAAGGAAAGAAAAAAATACAGTTGTTGCACTGTGAGCTATGTTTTACTTACAGAGGTAAGTGCGGGTGTATTGTGGCTTACTGACTGAAAAATTTATTTCATCACCGATGTTAAAATTCTTCTGTTCTTCCCTGAATTTCAGTTATTTCTGCAACACAAAATATGAGCTTTTATTTGAGTTGTCCTGAAATAATGAAATTATACTTGTATTATTGCCTCTAAATGATGAGACACTGCAGGGAACCAAGTAAATTCTGAATTTCCTCTGAGCAGTTGACATGGGAAAGCAGTATCAGATCCTGCTATGTGAGACACAGTATTAAAAGAGTTAATTTAAGTTAGCTTTTAAGCTCTAAGTAGTTTTGTGGAGCCGCTGCATATTACTTTTCTATGTGTAATATTTCTTAATTCATTACAGAAAATTTTACTTTAAGCAATGTGATGAAAATAAGAGAGAAAGTTCTAACACTAAACCCCAAAGAGGATTTGTGATATTGACATTCCTTTGAGATGCAACTGACTTCAAGTTGTGTTGAAGAAGTTCTCCTTCTGCTTCCTTTTGAATGAGGAGGAGGTAGTGGCATGAGACGTCCTTCAAAGGTTTTCTTGCTGTGGGGAATGGTCATTAGTGGCAGAGTTGTTTAAATGTTGGGTTTGTATATAAGCCATTCCCAGTCTTGCTCATGGTGTTGCTTGCCTTGGCAGGAAATGAGTTGGTGATCTTTTTGGCTGACCAGAAGGAGCCCTACTTTAAGCCCCGTGTTAAGCTACCTATGAAGTGAGTATGGATATCCCATGCTGCCACAGCCTGTTTTCCTGGAGAGTGCCTCTCTGCACTCAGAGGGAGCTGCCTGCACTTCTGTGCTCTTGTTACCTCTTGGACTTGTTGTTCAGCTTACCCTTCCAGCTCTAGTTCTTTGAGCAACTTCCTGATTCATTTCCTGATACATTATTGTTTTGTTGGTCAGATGACAGAATCTGTGGAGATGAGTTATGTCATTCATGTTGTTAACTAATAAGTGTGACTTCCCACCCCTTATGGAATTTTTATGGTTTAGATTTTGTCCTCAAATTAGTATTTAAAATACTTATATGTTGAAATATTTTGCAGTTGATGTGGATCTTCAGGATTTTATTTCCTAGTGAAGCAAACTGTCATTCCATAGTATACATAGCTCTTTGTGGTGGGTAGCTTTAGTATCAGGCCCAAGACACGTTTTCAAGGAAATTCATCCATTTGCTGTAGCTACTAATGGAATCCAGCCAATATCATCTGATTTAAAAGAGATATGAAAAAATGGTGTTCTGGTACTTCTGAGTAGAGATCTGTTTCTTTTTCAGGTTTACATGTGGCCTTTAAAAAAAACATCAGTTTTTAATAAATGTAAACCAGTCTGTTTATGTGCATATATGTGTCTGGCATTAATATCCTGTAATACTATTATGGTTATTGCTTATGAATAATGCTTACCAATAGTATTATGTTCAATAAAAGTTAAATTGCTTTTATAGCTCAGTTTCATCTTCTGTATTCTACATATTTTTATTTTGCCTTATTCCCTCCTGTCTTGGAAGGAACTAATTTGTTTAATACATTAGAAATTATCTGCTTTTAATCCTTAACATGACCCGTGTTTGTGTGTGTAAAGCAGACTCTGAGTAGGTAAGCAAATAAAAAAAGAAAGAATAAACAAAGGTGGGAAGGAGTAGTTAGACCTGGCAGAAGGCAGGTAGAAATGGCATTGCCTTTTAAAAAATCCACCTATGCCTGACTCCTGCTGTTCAAACAGCTCCTATTGCTTTATGTTCTTGCTCTTAGAATGCAGCCAAAAGATCCTGGTCACTGAAACATTCTACTTGACTGGTTCTAAAACAAGTGCAAGCATTTAATGAAGTGTAGATTAACAAACAGGATATGGCTGAAGAATGCCTGAGAGGTGAAGTTTAGAGTCAAAATGTCATTTTCCTTAGACTAAGCCTGTCAGGGGTCTGATTTTGACATACTTTTGCAATAGGTCAGGACTTTATCATAAACCAGGTTGTTGAAGGGTAAGATTGTATTGGACCAACTAATAATAATTAAGTAAGCCTGTGACCACACAGGTACCTTTTTCCTGCAGACCTTTTTACAATTATTTGCATATGGGGACTTTTGTTTTTAATTCCAGATCTCTTGGTGTCACCATAACCAGTGTAGTTCCTGGAGATTATGATGGAGATTCCCAAATGGATGTCCTCCTCACTACCCAGGCCCCAAGTCAAGGCAAAGATGAACTTTCAGTGTATATTTTCTGGGGACACAACCAAACGTTAGGTGAGTTGCTGAGACTGGTTGTTAATAAGATTGTTAGACTTCTTAATTCAAAGTGTTGTCAAGAAGTTACAACTCGTTTTTACAGTGTAATGATTGTTTTTACAACTGAAATAGGGATTAGCAGCTATTCAGCTTCACACCCATATATTATCCTGCTGTTAAACTGTGCTCAATAATTAATGAAAGAGAACAATGCTTGCAGTATATTATGCAACAGACATAACCAAACATTATTCTGATTTGGCAGTACCTATTAACTGAAGAGCTGCTTCTCATGGCTTCCCCATCATGCATGTCAGCTTCACAAAGACTATCTCAAAAGATTTATCTTCAGTTTAAAATGCACAGGGAACCTGGTGTGAACTTCAGTGCATCAACATTCAAAATAGCATACCTAAACCTACCAACAGTAATATAATATTTATGTTAAACAAAACTCTTTAAAGACAGTGACACACTAAAGTGGGTGTTGGAAGAAAGGTTTCTAGAGTCTCCATTGTTGAAAGTTTTCAAGCCCTTTAGAATTAAGTTTTCAGAAGTCTCTTAGCAGTGTTCGAGGTATATCTGATTCTCCACTTTGGGTGGAGTCATGGATTGTGAGAACTCTTGGGGTCTCTTCTGTTTTCTGTTGACTTTGCTAGGAAAGGGTTTGGGGAGGAATTTAGGATTTGAACAAAGACAGATAAACAAAAGAAAATAATCTTTAATCCACAAAAATTACTGAAGAATAATCACTATTGTAAAGAACTATGTTATGGCATAGTTACAGGTGAGGCAAGTTTGCCTCAGACACCATTGCTTCTGGCTTTAATCAGAGCTGAAACAAGCAACCTGGAAAAGTGCACTGGATTAAATTTTAAGGAAATAGCAGCTATCTCCAGCATTTGGAAGAATATGAGGACTTGGATTAAGTTATTCTGTTTTGTTTCAAAAAAAACCTGAGTGTTAGGGGAAACACAAATGAGTATTTGGGGCCTGGAGGAGGAGTCAGAGGTTTAAAATTCAGACAGTGGTTGGTATGTGCTGGCAAGGTATGGGAGTGTCACTTTGGATAATAGAAGTGTGACAGAAAAGTCAATAGGAGGGGACTGTTGTATGAAATGTGGAAATTGTAAAGACAAACATTGTGGAGAGAGGAGGGAAATGGGAATAATCTGGCAAGGAGTTTGAATTACAAGTACAAATGAAGTCTAAGGTGATAACCTGATGGGAACTTAGTCCTCACTTCCCATTTAGAAAGTCTATATTTATTGCTTATTTCAAAGACTCACTGTGTATAATTAAGACAGATTTCTGTTAAATGTATTGTCATTGTAAAAAAGCAAACATGCAATGTTAAACTTTTAGCCTGTCTCCATCCCAAATGTTTCATTTTTTCCTGTATCTGTGGGATTGTAGTCATGCACAGAAATAGATTTTACTAAGATCTACTTAGAATAATTTGTTGAGGAGTTTAGTGGAGAGGGAAAAAGCCTTCAGTATTTTAACTGTAACTCGCCTTTCCTGCAAAATTTCAGGAAGCTATTTAGTTCTTTATATAAAGTGGTGCCTTTTTAAAAATAATAATAATAAAACCAATGGTTTTAAATGAATAGAATAACTATATTTTAGTTGAAATGCACATGTCAGAATATATTGGTAACTAAATCAAGTTAATGTTTTCTGTTTTCAGATCTTAACCACAAAACTATGTTAAATAAGACTTTTCATGATGAGCCTTTAGTAATGGAGTAAGTATGACCTACTTTTTTAGAAAGTCACCAGTAGAAATTGTGGTTAAGAGCAACTTAAATAGATTTTAATGCTAGAATTTGAAACGCATGCTCTTTATCTTTTAAGAACAGGGTGTTTTGTGTAATGTCAATTGATCTAACAAAAGATGATGAACCAAATTAGTTTTCTTTACAATTGTTGTATATTATATTATCCTGGCAGTAGTAACTATATAACCTTTTAATTTCTCTCATTTTAGTACTCTGAGTGTTCAGAAAAAAAGCGATTCATTTCTCAGTGAATTTCGTAAAGCAAAAACCTTACTGGCTTAGCAAAAAGAGCAAATATCCCTTTCCTAATGTGCTTGCCTGTGTGTGAAATGCTGAACAAAAGCAGAGGGGACGTAGATCTGGGAAGCCAAAGCACAGGCAGAGTGTGAAACACTGATAGACCTTTACTGCTACCAGCAGCTCAGATAGGAGCCAGAATTTAGAGGGACTCACAGCTGACAGTTCTTCATGGCTCGGTGGGAAAATGTGCAAGTACAGATTAGTTTAAGAACAGGTGGTTTGAACTCCTGTGGTGACTGAGGTGGTGCTGACATTGTGTTCCATTTTCAGCTTTAATGGAGATTTGATTCCTGATGTGTTTGGTGTGACGAGTGAGTCGAGTAAGCCGCAGATCCTGCTGGGCGGGTAAGCTGAGGGCTGGGGGGTCAGCATGGCTTTGGGGACTTGGGCACTGTGCATCCACCTCCCATCCAAGTGTGACATTTATGTTTAACTCTCCTGTGCAAGTGTGAATGTTCTTGCAGTGACACTCCTCATCTGATCTTTAAAGGGTTATTTTATAGGGCAAGTAGACGTTCCATGAGAGCTGAGAAAACAGAACCACTGAAATAGACATCAGAAACAGCAAAATTGTTTCTTGGAACAATTAGTTCCAAGAAGTTATAGCCTCATTTGTTTAGTGCACTTTTGATATTTAGTATTGTAATCTGTCTTATGGAACTTGTGCTGAACAAAAGCTGCTTGCAGATTGATGCAAGAACTACTGAAACAGATTTTATAATTAAAGGGATGGCAAAAGAAAAATCTGCAAGTGTTTGGGGTAAACTTAAAAAAAATAACACTCTCATCTGCTTGGGAAATGATCTGTAATGGGGAGGTTGAACACCATAGGAAATCAAAAGTGCAGGATGTAAGGATATTAAACTATATATGTGCAAAGGTTATTTTTGACTGTTTTGGATATGAATGCTGAAATCAAAGCACAACAAATGATTGTGTCTCTAGAAGAACCAGTCTGTAGCTAAAAAAATACAGAACAGCAATGTCTCGGTATTGGGCAGGATGCCAAAGAACTTTAAGTCTGTCATTTGAAAATAAAAAAACCTGTAATTGTAGTTCCTGACTGGCTCTTTTCCTTTCCTAGGATAAATAACATTTGAATGTGTCAGTGGAAACTATGCCCTTCTTGGCAGTGTGTTTTTGTTCATTCATCCCAACTTAAATTGTATCACCATACTTGTAGTGGTGGCTTATGAAACAGATTTCAGATTCACAAAGATGTTTCTGAACACTGCAATGATTATATATATAATAAATTGTATTAGCTTTTGAAGAAATGGAAAAAATTTATTTCATTTTGTTGAAGAAATTATTTCAGGAGCTTTAAGACACAAATAAACTTACTCCTCATAGCTCAGAATAAGACTGAGTGCTACAGGTAATAGCATAAGCCATGTCTTGTTCATGGAAAACAGCTTTGTCACCTGTTTATAAAAGCACTTTTCTATTTTAAATCAAAATGTTTTAAGATTTATTCTAGAGCTGTATGACTAACTTGGCAATCTTCAAGACTGAATACATAGAAAAGGCTAGAGAAAATACTTAATTATTTCTTTAAGTAATGCATTTTAACATTTCTAAGACTTAGTTATGATCTCTGTGTGGTAATCACAGTATTATTTATTTTTTACCATAAAATTAGTCAAGGAAGATAAGGACTTCAATAATATGTATGTAATGTCACTGGAATAAATTCAGTAGTTCCAGACTAGTTGTACTAATATTTCTGCCTGCTGTTGTATGGTGCACATTGAGATTTTCCTGAGTGTTTTAGCTAAGGGTTCTGAAAGTCACATATTTGATTAAGCCACTGTGACTTTAGCAGGATTTGTTGCACTTCAAATCACTGCTAATAGGGAGGTTTGCTGGAAGTTCAGCCATTTTTAGAAAAGAAGCCAGCAGGGTATGTATATTTATAAATAAATAAATAAAAGTATCACCTGATTAGGAAATGACATAATTAGCTACTAGTCTGTTGTAACGTGAGAGTTTAAGTCGTGTTGATTTTTAAGTAAACTGAAATAAAGTGAATTTCCATGCAGCAGGCATGAGCTGTGAGCTGCTCTAACAGCATGTGCTCACTTCTGCTCATATTTATTAATCAGAAAGTAGATTCCAGAAGTACTTGCAGAACTAAAACTGCTTGGGGAAACTGGGAAAGACAGGGATCAGTGGCTCAGCTTTTGCAGTACAGCTGGAGCTTGGCACTAACTATAACTTTGTGGGTAGTGACACTGTTCTGTGCAAAAAAAAAAGTTGCTTTAGAAAATTAATAAAATAGAACCAAAGCCCCTGTGCTATGAATCATCCTTTGCAGAACCTTTCAAGCAATTACTTGAGTTACTTAGTATATTGAAAGCTAAGTAGGAATTTTATCTTAGCATTAGAAGAACATGCTTTGTGTCCCATTTTATTTCAAGTTTCACTGTTTTTTGAAGCTAAATTATCAAGATTAACATTGATGAAATGTATTTTTATTCCTGTCTGTAGGAACTTGTCATGGCATCCTGCCTTGGAAACTCAAAGTAAAATGTATATACCACACTCTCATGCCTTTATTGATTTAAATAATGACTTCACTGCTGGTAAGTCATAGAAACGTTAAATACCATCCTAAAAATAATTATCACTAAGTGTCAATGTCATGTGTTGCAACTTCCTTCAGTAATTATATGATTTTGCTACTTCTGATTTGGGTTTTCTAATTACTTAATTTTAATATCTACAATTTGAAAATTCTGGGTTTTAAAAAACAACTTTTAAAATATTCTTATAGCATTTTCTACTTCTTGATGATAATTGTAACTACTGCTTGCTCTGAATGATGTTGTGTTCACCTTTAAGCTGTTGTTTCCTCCTCTTCACAATGCTGTACTCTAGTATTCATGGCAACTGCATCAGGGCTGCAATTTTTCACCTTGAGTCTGGAAATAGGTAGTTAGATTCAGCAGAATGTTTTTAAGACTGGACTTAAATTTTTTTTCAGGATTTCATTGACTTCATTCTATATTGTTGTAGTTAGTTCTATCACTGATAGAACTGTGTTCTTCCTTTATTATGTTGGCTTATTTTATCAGTGCAATTCAGTTACCACCATGCATCTATTTATCACTTATATACCTGGCTCATATTTCCAAGCACATTTAAATATTGTGAAAAACTTAATTTCTTCACTCACTCAATTAATTCTGAAGTGCTTTATCTTCTGCCAGATGTGCAATGTACATCAATTCATATATGGTAATTTTGGAAAGAGAGCTTATCTTTTTCCTGTTTAGTTGCATGGGAATGAGAGGAACGAGTCCATAAATTTAATTAAGATGCTTATAAATGTTGGGGATTAAGTTAATTGCTTTAGCATGCAGTCAAACTTTAATATTCAGTTCTGGCACATTGCTGTGTGATGCTGTGTAAATTCCAACTGGAAAATTAAATATATGGTTGCTTACCATAATCAGTGTCATGTAATAGCCAGTTCTAACACACTTAGCTCTAGAAGCCTTTTGGAATTCTGTTTTAGTGGCATAAGCAGCATAGATGAGCATTCCAGGTAGCATTTTAAGTTGAGTACATAGAAGTCTAAACTCAGAGGTGACTAAAGGAAAGAAGTCTAAGATTCTTACATTGACCAGTCCCAGACTGATCAGTTTTTCAAGGTTTTTGACAGCTGCCAGACTAAAGAATGTTCCAAGAGTTCCAGTTAGTGCTGCTGCTATGTGGAAGCTCCTCTATTAAATAGAAATGAGAGTCAGGAGCTTTGTGTGGGTAGTGCTGGGAGCTTTTATGGATTCACATCTATTTTTATATCTCAAGATGTGAGTAGAAGCTCCTGTGAAGCTCTTCCCATAAAGATCCTGACTTTTACTTGCTTGTAGCAGCAAGGCTGTGACACCTTGGGCTGAGGTACTACATTAGGGTGTTATGTTTAGTGCTCTGGGAAGTATTATGTTACAAGAACCTGGGGAAAATTGTAAGGAAAATAATTCATTCTAACAAGAAAACTAGAGAAAATATTACAGTATTATTTTTTTTAAGTAATGTTTTACTTCTAAGGTGGGAATGATTTTTTTTTTTTTTTTACTGTCCCTGTGAAGATGGGACTAGCTGGGAATGAGACATATGTTGCTGAAAAATAGTATCAGTATATCTGATAGTTCATGACTGATGTGTTTTTCCAAGAGTGCTTCCTGCCAAAATGAAAAGTCACCAGTTGTCTAGTCCTGCCTGCACATTTCTGGCAGTTCCCTGACATCAGCTCTAGTAACTGCTTGGAGCTGGGGCTGCTGAGGAGCACAGTTCATTGTCACTGCAGTTATTAAGTTGATCCAACTCTCCATGCAGGATTGTCAGAGCCAATGTGAGCACAGAGGAAAGGCTGACTCCTTTTAGTAGCAGCAGCTACTGGGCTGCCTTTAACCAAGCATGAAATTGTACCTTGACTCTCACTGTGCCTCTTCCAAAAAATACCTGTGCAGTGTTCTCAGCACGTCTGCTCTAATTTGTGTGTGTACAGAGCTGGCCAAGTGACTCACAGGCAGCCATCAAAGTAGTCAGGTGATAGAAATTAGGGGAAAAAAAGGGGCAAAACAACAGAAGCTGTAGGTGTGTGCAGCACTGGTGGGACTGTGGTGGGAAGTGCTTGGGGCAGCAGGGCAGAGGCAGTGGTGGCTTAGCAGAGTGTTCTCCATGGAGCCTGGCACTGCTGGGCTCACAGGAGCTGCTGAGCAGGAGAGCATTGCTGTGACTCAGTACTCACCCACACAGCCATTCTTCAGTGGGAACAAAGCCTCGTTAACAACGGGGCCTGGTGCACATTAGAATAGTATTAATTAAAAGGGAGGCATTGACAAGATGCAGGGGAATAATCTGCCTGCTGAAATCATGTGGCCCAAAACACTTAATAATCACGGGATTTTATGCTGCTGTGGGACTTTTGGACTGAAATATTCAGGCTGTTTACTCACAGGCAATGCTACTATTAATGATTATAAGGATATAATTGCATCTCAAATAGATGCAGTGATTTATGTTTACAGATAGATAACCAGGACATGCCATTTTACTTGTTCTTCATGTTTTTTGCAGGTATTTTTAAATGTTTTTCTAATATTCTGCAATATTTTGGGGCTCTTTGTACTCTGTAACAGATGCAGCCAATTTGATGATTTTTGGCTGGGCTATTTTTGGCAACTCTATCATTATAAACAGCTTAGGAGATTTAAAGTGTGCTTGACATAAAAAGAAATCCTCTCTGGGCTGAGAAGCTTTTTGCTAGTTTATTGCCTAACCCGTTTTCAACCTGCTGATATTAAACACTCAGAGCAGAGCTTTTAATTGCCACACTTCTCATGCTCTGGGTGAAATGAAGTTGAATTGTTATGATTTCATTATATGAGAACTTGCTCATAAAGATGTGTTTAATCCCTGACAGTACTTCATGAAAGGCTAACAGTGTAAGAATTTTATAATCCAAAAATCCTCTAACCACAACAAAGATAATACTAATCTTTCTTGGTGAGAGATAAACTGGGCTGTTTCAGAGAGTATGCTGCTGCTGTTTTTAAAGAAAGCATCCTCATGCAAAAGTCTCAGATCCCTATAATTATTAATTCAGTAAGAAATTCTGAGTTAGGTCAGGAATTTCATAAAAACTATGCAAAAATTTGCAGTATAAAACCTTTACCAGAGGGTCTGTATGTGGCTAACAGATAAACTAAATACCAAACTTTCAAGTGTCTTTTGCATGCACATGAAGCATGTGTTGCTGCAGGGAGGAGTATCTGCTTCACAGGGTGGCTGAGTTGGGAAGGGATGTCAGGAAATGTTCTGGTCAGGCAGCCTGCCATCCGTATACAGTCACTGCCACAATGACAGTGTCACTCTTGCTACATGCACTGGGGCTGCAAGACAGGAGCAAATGTGGTGGCCCTTGTTGGAGCAGGGCTGCTGGGTGTGTAGTAATTCATACTCACACTTGTCATTAGTTCTTTTTCACAGCTGGCTTAGGAAAATAATCCTGAAGCTAATAATAATAGGCTTGTCTGAACAGGTTAACATCAGGTGTGTTTTATAAAGCAAACAGTCCAGGTGAGCATTTCCAAAGCAGGATCCTCAAGTAAGAGACCTGTCTTAGAAATGTTGCTTTTGAAATTTTGAGGATAGTGATTATTTTGCTGTGTCATTTATTTTTCTAATTAGGCAACTTCATTGCTTTTATTGTAAACATCCTAAAATGTCACATGTTCACTTAGGGCTAATGCTGTCTTTCTAAACTTAGGGGGGAAAAAACCAGGATTATTAAACCACAGATTTGTTTGCATTCAGAGATACAAGTATTCTACCAAGAAGCCAGGTCTAACAAACACTTTTAAAGTGCTCAAATGTGTGGTACAAGCTGCCTTGGACTGTGAATACCACTGTAACCTCACACTGTACATCTGTCAATGTATCCTTGAATGCTATGGAGAATAGCTGATGTATTAAATACTCTGTGTGTCACTTGGTTATGTGATTGCACAGTTTGGAAGTGCTGCTTTTACAACTGATCTCATGTGGAACACGAGAATGTATTGTGTATAATTGGAGATATTTCTGGAACTGTTTACATAAAATGAAGGAAAAATCATAAATTTGGGTTTGGGAAAACGAAAGTGGAAGAATCATTAGTCAGAAACAGCTTGCTGTAAGCTAATTGCTAGTCTCTTTACTGATTTCTGGTGGTTAATTTTCTTATGTTGTTTTGCTTTGGGAATTTAGAAACCTAATGTACCAGAACGTTCACAATGTGTTTTCTTTTTGATTCCCACTTAGTTTAAATGTATAAATGTCGGTAGTTTTCTTCTTGAAAACCAATCACTCAAATCACAAGTGATATTTCAGTTGTAGTCATTTAAACCTGAAGATAGGACAATGCTCTATCTCAGATTCTCTGGTCACATTTTCAGTGGGTTTCCTCTTCATAGAAGCTGGTAGTCTCTCTGCAGCTCATATTACCAGCAGAGCTGATTTTCTGCAGTAAATCTGCATTTATTCACTATGAAAATACCTGGCAAACAAAGTATCTGGTGGGATTTTAAAACTTGGGTGGGGTATGGGGACTGTGTGTATATGTTTGAAGTCAAGTTGTTCTCTCTGGTTCTGTCCCCTCCCTTACATTTCTCCCAGAGCAGATATTCAGTAAAGCCATGCCACTATGTCATTCCTTAAGCAGGTATAATTTTTTAAATTTCTTAACTGTTTTAGCAGAGCTTATCTCCGAGTTTACAGTAAATAATGGAAGCAAAAAATGTATTATATAAGATAGGATATATTTCAGAGGACTTTAGTCTGTAAAGTTTTGTTTGTTTTTCATTAGTTCTACTCTTTAATTGTTTGTTATCTCTAATTAAAAATGCTCTGGGTGATATGATCTCCTGTCCCCCCCATTCCTCCACTTGTTCCTTCCCAGTGTCCAATACCACAGGAAGTTCCAGCTCATGAAATCAAAAAAGAACTGGAATTAGCTGCATCTCCTCCTGCTGCTGGGGCTGGGCTGCTTTTGCCAATGACTTCTTACTTGCAGCTTTCCTTGCAGAGAGAACCAAAG